TCCAAATAGCTATTATCGTGTCCTCAACAATTCGATAAGCATCTTTATCAACATCAAACAAATTCCATATAACGATGGCGATAAATTCTAGTGCCCAATCTGTAATGTCCTTATCACCTTTTCCAGAGATAATATCATCTCGTCTGCTATATATTGGAACAAGTCTAATAAGATATTTTTGCCAAAGCCATATTTTATGTAGTTCGGTACAAAATGTAATATTTTGCTTAAACATTAAAACTAAATCCTCAAGAATTCTGCATTGTACAGTCTTCTTTGTAGCTTCTGAATCTAGTAATGCAAGAATAGCCACAATAATTTTAAAATTTTTTATTGGAGGCAAAACCAAGGGAGGCGTTTCTGAATCATCTCTGTTTGGTAGCCCTGCAGTACTGAACTGTTCAAGTGACCAATGTAGCAGCGCATGATAAACATTAAGAGTTAATGGACCAACTTCCATTAATCTTATTAAATTTATTATGTCCGTATCCTCAAATCGGAGCTTTTTGACAATTCTAGGTGATGTCAACGGGCAAGTGACTAAAAATGTTATTATTTTGATACAATAAAATCGGACATTTTCATCTCGTCGCTTTAGGAGTTCGCAGAGAATTTCGAACCCTCCGTAAGAAGAAAAGATGTCTACTATCTCTTTGTCTGATGATTTACTTATAAGCAAGTTAAGAAACAAATTTAAAAGTTCACATATATGATCATCGTCTTCACTGATCAAGAGACTTCTAAATATACAAAGAGTTTCGTCTTTTGAAATTTTATCTTTGAAATAATCGTTTACGATATTAAATAGTATAGTACGAAGTTCCTTTAGTTGAGGAGGCTTTGGTCTCGTGGCTCCAGCAGTTGAATGTCTATGTGGAGCAGACAGTTCACCTTGTTTGTACCAATACACGTTTTGTAGTATATCCAAGAAGAATTGGATTCCAAAACGTTTGCGGCACATTAATTTTCGTGCATCGATAAAAGTTTTAAGAAAGTCGATACAATATTTTTGAATATCAATTGTCGCATACATCCAAAGACGAAATTCAAAGACAAGGTTTGAATAAACTTCTTGAGCCAAATCTTCGTTGGCGCTCAAGGCACCCGCCAATGAAATCATACTTTGAAAAGCGGATATGGTAAAATGGCGTGGCCCAACCTGTTGTAATAAAAGACTAACAACTTTTATACCTCGTGATTTAACAATGTGATTTTGGCTTTTTGAATTATTCTGTAATAATGAAGATAAAAGGGCAAAAAATGCTTTACATGGCCCTTCCGATGCAAAAAAATCGTCCTGAGATCCGAATGGCGCTTGAAGACTCACAGAATCTAAATTATCAAATTTCATTATGATTGGGAAAAGGATTTCTACATCCCCTAAACAGTGTATTGCATTTCGCAAACTGAGAGTTGTGCATTTTTCTATATCAAATAAAGTGGCAGTTACAGGCTCTTGGGTTATTAGATTACGAGATGCTAAATTGATACATTTTTGACCAATAGATGCTTTAACATGGAAATTAAAAAGTATTTTAGAGCACAGTGTGGTACCATCAAATAAATTGGATTTAATATTTGGGTCTTTTCTTTGCAAAGGTTCAAATTGGGATGAATGATTTGGCC